TTCCTCTCGGCAGTCACTCTCTTTCTCGGGGGCGCACAGCGGGTAACGCGATACAACACTGCGCATAGCTGGTACTCGTAAGCCATTCACCTGCGGCGCCTGTCCTTACCGTTCATCAACCTCGCATAAACTGGATGCATACCTGCGCTATGCTTACCGCCCATGACAAAGAAAGGCGATGATTCATCACCTAGCAACATATTGAAGGCATAGTCTAACTGACGGAGGAAATGTGTATATACGAAGTGTAAAGATCCCAGAGCACGTATTCCAAGCGGAAGGTCATCAGCTACCAAGGGCAGGTAGCCGGAAACGCTACTCTACTGTAGTCAGATGGCATAATGGTCGGGGTCGCGTGCCCCCCAGCGAAGGGGTATCGGGGGCGCGTGAGGGTTAGCGCCCGTGAGTTGCCGCCCCGGTCGCAGTTTACAGCCTTGATGTACGCACCAACAGCGAATAACTCGACTCTCCGCTTTTGTTCATGGCCACAACTTGTACATCATGCTGATTCCATTGCTGCTGCCGCCCCAAGCGTCACCGCAGAGTCCATCGACAGCACCGTTGGCCTTTTAGACTTTGCGGCGGGCACGGTGATACGCTGCGCAGCAGTTCAACTAGGCTGAGCGTGTGCACCCAACTTTGGTAATAACGTAGATCATGTGTGTGATTGTTTGGGGTTGTGTCCCAGTGTACGGCGAATGGAATAAGTGTGGTGTGTTCTTTGGATAAAACGAGCAAAAAATAAGGTAATGCTCATGGTAGAAATATTTATGCGTGAGGAGCCTTGTCAACGGAGGGTTCTATGCGCCACATCTTCCCAAAGATTGCTTTTGTTGTGTTGGGCACTCTTGTAGTCGTCCTCGTGCAAGAAGAGGCGGGAGTCCGCTGGCACAACCTCTCACGGAGGTTGGCAGCCACGAACAGTGTACATGGAATGACGTGTCGCAACACCTCGTGCGTGAAGCTGTGGGTCAAGTTTTCCTCGTGACCGGCTACAAGGCTGAACCACGTGCTTTGGTACTTACAAGGGACATCGAACGCTAAATTACTTGTAATACGTGCTGTTCGTTGCCGTACGCAGGAGCTGCCGACAAGGATTGGATATTTCTTGTCCACTCACCGGTGTTACCCCCCTCCTGTGTAGCCTTGGATGGTTGTAGTTGTACGGAAAAACGATACTGAAAGTGTACATTTTATTACTCTGCGTACAATGAAAAGTGTCGTATACGTCTCACGACGAAAATGGGAGCACTGTCGCCATACCAAGTTGGACGCCACCAATAGAAACCTGGGAAGGCCGTGCAAAAATGGTCATGTACGTACGCGGTTGTCGTCACCTTGAAGCCTCTCACCGAAAACACACCCGCGGACGCTCTTGCCGATACACGGTATACGAGAACATGGCAACAGGTAACGACCACTGTAAATGAAGCAGGCAGCCGCAAGGATGTTACTTCCATTGTGGCAGAGAATAACCTTGGAGGACCCGCTGATTGTAATAAGTCGTTCCATACTTCGATTGAAAACACTAAACAACTGCGAGAGAGAAAAACCCATGAGGACCCGATGATGGTAATAAGTCGTTCCATACTTCGATTGAAAACGCCAAACAACTGCGAGAAACAAACGTGGCACAACACGAACGACTGAAGTCCCACAAAGAAAACCAGGGAATACCCCGCGTCGGAACATGCACGGGGCGCCATTCGTAAACCTCTTCACCCCACCGTGCCAGAGCGAGCTCGAGTGCCCTGGTCTACAAAACCACGATCATTCATCACGAAGTATGGAGCTGGACACCACCAGGCATTTCCCCGCATAGTACTGCCCGCTTCAAGTGTTTATCCTTTCAACGAGTCAAAGATGCACCTCTAAACTGAACCCTCTTCAGCGACCTTGGCCACATGCAACCACACGTAAAACCGTCACCTGTAGACATCCTGTCAAACCTCAGTTCGACTATAGCTCTCGGCCAACGTACGCCTGACATTGGTTGTTGGAAGCGTTTGCCAAACGACAACTCCTTCAGGGTAGGAGCCCAACATGACTCGAGAGTGTCAATCGACTGATTGAATGATCCCCCAAAGGCAAGCGACTCCAATCCGGCGGCCACTGCAAGGTGTAAACCTTCGTGTTGAACTTACCCCCAAGTACCAACGTCTTTAGGCTCGTAGGCCAAGTGGTGTCGCTTACACGCCACCCGCAGCCTGACCCAAACTCGAAAGCTTCTAGCGTGGACGGCCACTTAGCAAGTTCTACGGAAACCATGTCGTCGAAATCATCCCGGAACACAACTCTATGCAAGTTCCGGGGCCAATGAACGGCATCAACCTTCTGGTTAAAATTTAAGGCGAACGACACCTCCTACAGCCCCTCAGGCAACTGCATGCCTTGTATTGGGCTGTTCAACCCCCCCCCCGACCGTAGGACCTTGAGCGTGGCAGGGAGTACCACAGGAGGCCTCAGCCCCCCGTTCCACGCACCCCCCAAGGTGAGATACTGCAGCGAACCAGGCCAGATAACGTCTAGCAGGTTCTGCTGGAACGCATCACCAGCCGTCAGAGCGATCAATGCATCCGGCCAATGATAGCCGGTCAACGGCTGGTCAAAGCACGTACCAAACGCCAAACGTTGCAAGCTACTGGGCCACCGGACTGCGGCGATTGGCTGGTTGAAGCATCCTCCTAGACGAATGTCCTCGATGGAATCTACGAAAGTCACACCTTCGATGGACCTGTTGAATGTGCTTTCTAGCGAAACGTTGCTTCAAATTAGGAGGCATACTGATACTTTCGAGTGGCTGGTTGAAGCGGCTCTCGCAGCCGGATCCGAACGACATCACCTTAACGGTGGCCGGCCACACCACTCCGTCCATGGGCGAATCGAATAAATCCTTGGCCCGAAATACACGCAAGTGACTCGGCGGCAACATGCGAACATGTGATTGCCCGCTAGCGGACCGTAAGTCCGCGGAAATCGACAGCATCCTGACGCCGTGCATGTTGTCGTGGAACTTGTTAAAAGAAGGGGCGGACGTACATGCCGACCAAGTAATCGCAACCGCAGTCGATGGCTTCAGCTTGGTTAGCCACTCTACCAATTCTCTATCGTATGTCGGCCCCTGGTAAATTTCGTCGCCTAGGGTACTCCTGAGGAGAGGATCTAGCATCCCTCTCTGGGTTACTGTGGCACACATCGCTGCTACGTTGCATATCTGACAGGGCGGGCTTCAACTCCTACGCTGAACTGCACTCCAACACGGCCGCCGCGGACGTCGTCGGCGGCCGGGAGTTGCGCCTCCTGGGTTCAGAGCTCCTGCAGTGCTGGGAGATATACGCCGTCCTTAAGGCCGCAAATGATGTCGGTAAGAAAGTTGCGTTGTCCCCTTACTGCAACATGTTGTATTCTGTTGTGACAACACAGCAGACCTCTCCCCGCATTGGAATACATTTTCCATCGACGGCGAAAAAAAAATAGTATCCAATCCCCAATCCGACCGCGTACAGGTTAACAGTAACTTCTCGTAGGAAGGATAAGGGAGCGCCGAGCAGGGGACATGCGTGCGAGCCTTTTATTTGGCAGTAGTCAATCGTTTGTTTCTTCTTGTCTTTCCTCTGTCATTACGCAAGGGGTGGGACACCTACCGGGGGTGGGAGATGTTTGACCAGCCTTAGCGGTTACACGAACGACCGCGCGTCCTCAACAGCACGGAGGGATATTCACACAGAACCGACAACCGATGGCGAGTCGCCTTCAGCTATCGTGCTGGCAGCTGACTCAAGTTCTTCGTCTTGCTTGCCGTTACTCAAACGTTCTTCGATATGATTGCGTGCAAGGTCCACACAAGTGGTACGCATTGCCGGGCCAGGCACTCAAGCCAAGGGATCCCAAGGCTGTCGATGTGTTTGATGAGAGAGGTGAGCAGTCAGGATGCAATAATTGGGCGGGGCTACGTCGTGTCGAGGAGGAGCTCAACGACAGGTACTGGAGGGAAGACCACGCTTGTGATCAGTGCCGGAAATACACTCCCATAGAGGGACAGGACTTCTGGACGCAGGCGGCCGCGATAGACGGCAATACGTCCACGCGATACTT